CAATATCCTTCCCCCAGGAGTGGGGAGGAAATGGGGATTTTGCAGTATCCTTCCACTGTCACGCCCACCAAGCCACAACCACATCACGGCCACCGTGCCACACCCACAGAACCGGTAGTAAAAAAATTTGGATTTCACCACGGCTACAGGTCCCGTCCCCCCCCGCCCCGCCCCGTTGCAAACCTATTCAGATGCTCATAGTAAAGCAGGTTTCCTCCATGGAGGCCCCGCGAAGGCCGGGCTGCCCTGTGGTTAGCAGAGAGGGAGGGGGAAAATGTGCACTTCAATTCCCAACCCAGAACACCGGAACCAACACCCAAGACATCCTCCGTTTGTGTTTCTGGGACTTTCAAAAAAGGCTAGGAAGAGAGGGATCTTGCGGCCCCGTTTGGCTTCTTCAACTAGTCTGCCCCACTCGTAGCATTTCCAAGCAGGGCTTCCTGCCCCAATTCTGCCCACACGGAGGACGGCTCCTCCCTCCTCCGCATTCGTGTTGTTCTGAGATCGGGGAGGCTTAAAGCAGCAAAGCATCTCCAGCCCTATTAAAGAAGGCAAAACGTGATTAGCACTTGGACTGCCTCGGGGCAGCAGCGGCTGCACCCCAATACTTACTGACTGACTGGCTGCTGCTGCTGTTGCTCCTTAATGGCTCTCCCAAGAAGACCAGGCAGGGGGATGGAGAGCCTGGCAAGCAGGCACCATGGTGGAGGAAAAAAAACCCAGCCAGCAGGGATGTTAATTTCTCCTCCAATCCCTCCACCTGCCTTAGTTTAATTCTTTGTTTTATTCTTGGCAACCTGGGAAATGTAAACGCTGCAGTTGCTTTGCTGGAAATATCTAATTGTCCATCCTGGCCCGGCTGCCAGCATAAACCTCCCTCTGTTTCCAAAGGGAAGGTCCGAAGGGAAACCGAGTCAGCTTGGGAGGAGAGACCGAAGCAGGAGACGCCGACACAAGGGGTCACAGGAAGCGCTGCAAAGGGCAGCCACTCTGGGCCAGAGATCAGGAGGGCCAGCCGGCTTTCCAGGCAGGGGTGAAATACTCCCGGTTCGGACAGGATCGCCCGCTCCGCTAGCGGTCCTGGCGGGTAGTTCGGAGAACCAGTAGCGATCCTGGTGTGAGGCTCCGCCCACCCGCCCAGTTGTTGTTACTTCCTGGTTTAAACCAGGAAGTAATGTTGTGTTTTGTACCCTCTGCACATGCAGGGCTACATGCCAGAACCGCTAGTTAAAAATACTTTAAAAAGTTTTAAAAAAAATAAATTCCAACATCGCTCAGCTGATCATTGGAAATTTTCCCCCTCCCCCCCCTTTTTTTTAACTTTTTAGGCATTTTTTTACTACCTGCTCAGGCAAATAGGTAGTAAAACAATGCTTTAAAAAAGTGGACCATGGAAAATAACTCAAGCCCTTAAGAGAAGGAGGTTTTGGTCAGTGCCCCCCCCCCACCCCCGTTTGGTTCCCAAAGCAGTTCTCACCTTTGCCTTCAGAACAGCAAAGGGGAAGGTTGGCGCAGAGCGTGGCAAGGAAGTCATCTTTTTGTGGTTTTCCAAGGGGGCTGCTTCTTCTGCTCCAAAGCCCACATGCCGAGTGTGGCACTCTCCTGTGGGCAGTTAAGTCCACAGCCAGAAAGCCCTGTGGGGCACTTCATGGAAGTAGAGGGGGAGAGATGTTCAGGAGTCCTGGTTCACTTCAGAGGCTGCCATGTCTGGGGCAGTATCAATGCAGCTTCATCCCAGGGCTGCAAGCAGGGCCCGGGGGGGCATTTCAGCAGTGGGAATACCAGTCTTTCTCTCTACCTCTCTGGGTTGGGGCAAGTGGCCTGCAGGCCATAGAGGAGGAGGAGGAGGAGGAGGAGGAGGAGGAGACGCACTGGGCCTCACCCGGTTGCACAGCACACAGCGTGGCTTCCCCATGGAAAAAGTCCCAAGGCTGGCAGGAAGCAGAAGGGCAGGTCGGGGCCCCTGGTTGGGAATGGGGCTCTGCCTGGCAGGGCTGATCAGCTGGGGGTGGGTGAGGGGAATCTGCAACCAGACAAATGGCTGTTCTGCTCAATTATGATATTTAAGCCCTTGGATCCCCGCCTGTAAAATGAAGCTGCTGGCTGTTTTGGCTGAGTGACGGGCGTTCCCTCCTCTGAGGGGCCAAGAGAGGCCAGAGGGCAGACTCCAGATGGGGAAGCATGGACCAAAACTGGCCCAAGCACAGCAGAAGTTGCCCAATGACATCATCACGGAAGGCCGCCACCCTCGATGTCACAAAGCCTCCTTGCTGTGGGTCCCTCGCTTCATTCCCCTGGCTTCTGCTCACCAGAGCACGGCGAACCTGCTTCCACAGCCAGGGGCCCCCCACTCACTGTTGGTCCCCCACCACCACTTGTGGACACCACCCACATCAACGGTCTTGCAAACTGCACCCTCCAAGTGATGCTTGCTGAAAATTGGGACCAAGGGGTGAGTGATGGGAACTGACTTAAACGTCCCTCATCCACATTTGGATGGATGAAATTTGTTGGAACAGAACTGAGATTTGAGGACTGGAGGGGAGTCCCCCTTATTTTGTCTGGTTTCTGGCAGAAATCTCCATCTCTGTGGCTGTTGGGAATACTAAAGGTGCTTGCTTATTAGCTCAAGTTTAATTAATTTGTATAATATCCCTGTTAAGAACAATGGCTAATTAAGATCTCTTCCCTCCCCTCCTCCTCCTGAAAAAAGAGTGAAGAATCAGCAGTCATTAAGGAAGATGCTGGCAGCCGTCCATCAAGCTGCTTCCCGCCTGCCTTGCTCTAAACGCAGAAGTCTTAATGAGGGTCTTTTAGCAGCGGAATTATCCTTCCCTGCTCCAGCAGATGCGAGGGGAGCTGGGCACTCCTTCCAGCCAGGCTGAGCAGATGTGGAACCGTGTCCTTTCCGCCTCCGCCTGATTGATAAGGCCTCTGGCTCTGGAAAGGGAAAGCTGACGGGCAGACGGAGAGGCCCATCATCGGACGGAGGGCAGTGGTTGCCTTCCCAGCCCAGCCCAGCGGTGGAGAAAACAAGGAAGGAAAAGAAAGGAGCGAAACCCAGTTTGCACCAGCCCTTCTGACTGGCTACCAGCCCTGCTTTCCCAGTGCCTGCCCAGCTTCTGCCATGCACAGAACGGGGAAAACCCTCTTGGGACAAAGGGGCCCAACTTCCCCCCCCTCCCGCAGGCGCTGTCAAGCTCTAGTTACACGCCATAGGCAGAGCTTCGCCCCAACCTTGTCCCTCCAACTTCCCCCCACGGCAGGCCGAAGAGCAGCTGAAGCTGCATTCAGCCTTTGAGGCTGATGGGGGAAGGGGGCAGCATCCGAGATCCCCTCCATTCTTTGGTGCCCCCTTCAGCTCTCAGCCTCTGCTGGCTGCACCCCAAGCCTCCCTGTTCTGCCAATCTTCAGCTGCAACCTTGGCTCCCCCCCATTCCTCCCCCCCCCCAGTGGACAAGAAGGAATGCAAGGAGACCTCCTTCCCCAGCCTGCTTGGCCTTGAAGAGGGCCAACTTCATCTCGGGAGCTGAAAAAAAAGGGGGGGGACAACTTGAAAGGGCTGCTGCAAAACATTGCTTGGCAAATTTCCCTCCCACAGAGGGGGAGCCTACAGTCGGCAAAAAAAAAAAACTCCCCACATTTCTATGCACAAGACTTTGAAAGGGATGGAGTTTGGCCCATATGGAACCAATTAACTCCCCCGCCCCCCCCCCACCAATCCGGGCTGGGTTGGCAATGCCCCCCCTCCCCCAGCAATCTACAGAGCATTCCAGACAGAGATGGACCAGGATCATCCCCACAACCACGGCCCTAGAGCCCTGCACCCTCCCTGGCTGGGGGCTTCAGAAAGTCCGGAAAGCCATTGCCCAGCCAGGCCAGCTCTCTGGGAGAGAGGCTTCCTTCAGCCCAGAGCCAGAGAGATGCCGGGGCTTCTGCCACTGGACTTGTCTGGGACAGATCGTTTATTTCACAGCCAGGATGGGGGAGGCCAGCAGAATCCCTCCATTTCCAGGCCCCGGACTCCTTCTGGTAGAGGGCTACCTCGGGCAGAACCAAGATTCTATAAATCTTGGATTTATAGAAAGGGTTTCTCCCGACAATGCTGCTGGCGAGCCCTGGGAGGGGACTTTGGGAGCAAGAGCTGGGCCTTCCTCTCTCTCTCTCTCTCCGCCTGCCTCCACGCTGGCTCTTGTGGTTGCAACACTGCAGTGATTCCACAAGCCCGGAATTTGAAGCATTTCCTGCCAGGCGAGAGAAGAGAGAGAGAGAGAGAGAGAGAGAGAGAGAGAGAAGAGGCAGGAGGAGCTGTGGGGGAGGGAAGGGAGCCTCTGGCCTTCCAGCGGCAGCCAGCCTTGCTTTGCCTGGAGGAGATACAGCTCAAGAGCAGAAGAGGGAGGGAGACCCTTCGGACTGTCCCTCCCTGCATCCTCTGACTGGGTGCGGTAGGGAGGCCCAGCCTCTCGGGAGGGCGAGCAGGACATGTCTTTGGCCACCAAATGGTTCCCGGAGGAAGAAGGCGAAAGGACCCTGGCTGAGCCCCACAGTGGCAAGGCCCTGGCTAACAGGAGAGCAAATAGGGGCATCGCCAGCATCTGGTTGGGTGCAGAGGGATAGAAGATGCTGAGAAAAGGGGGTGTTTTGTATATCCTCAAAGCCCCCCCCCTCCCAAGGGGGCCAGGCGGGACCTCCTGGCAGCCGCCCGGAAGACTCTCTGCAAGCTGCTTTCATGGGCTGCACAAAGCATCCCAGGGGCAGCACAAAAAGCCAGAACCTGCCCCAAAGCTCCCCCTGGACTTAAGGGGGGGGAAGGATAGTGCAAGTACCCGCCAGAGAGAGGCAGCCCAAAGCCTCCTCCACCACAGCCCTCTGGACCCTCCGTGTCCAGCCACTCGGCTACTTAAGTCTCCAGGAAATTCTGTGTGCAAACACAGCCGCCAAGTGAGCCAGCCAACAAGTTGGCACTTGGCCGCCTTTGCCCAACGACGTTGGTTGCTCACCTGGGCGAGTTGGAGGATGAGTCGATGCAGAGAGGAGAGGGGAAGCCCCCCAGCAGCAGAGCAAGAGCACTCCCCCCCCCCACTTCTTGGCCCAGAGAAGCAGGAGGCAAGGCAGAAGCAGGCAAGACAGCCAGCCTGCTTTTGGCCCCAGCCCAGCAGGAGGAAGGGAGGCGTCCCGGCCCACCATGCAGGAGAGGTGCAGGGGGGGGGGATTTTTCAGAAGGGGGCTGCAGTGTGGAATCCAGGCAGGTTGACACAAGGCCCTTCAGGGTCAAGTGGGAACTTGCGCATGGAACGAAGCAGCACCTTAATCCCGATGTCACAGGAGGAATTTGCAAAGCCTGAGAGCCGCGACCGGCTGGGCCAGTTTATCTTAAAAAACGAACTCTTAGAGGGATTTCGGTTGGGCTGAATAAAGCCATTACCGTATGGTGCCTTCCCCGTTTTTTTTGTAAAGCTGCCTTTACAGGTGGCTGCAGGCCAAGGAGGTCAGCGCTTGGCAAGGCTTCCCAGGGCCTGCTTCTGGACCTCTCCTGCCAGGCTGCCCAGGTCACGCCCTTCCACCCGGCCTCTTGAAACTCCCCGCAGGCAGCTCCAATTCAGCCACTGCGAGGCGGCGGCAGAAAGGCCTTCATCCCATGTCTTTCCTTGGGTGCTCTTTATGCCCCCTTGTCCCAGGTACGGCTTCGGTCCCGTCCCTGCGGGCTGGGACCTCCATGTCTGCAAGCAAACCAGGCCCTCCTTTTGTTACAAAGACCAAAGGTAACTTGTTTAAAACAAAAGCAACACTTCGAAGAGCTCTCGTTACTTGTAAACAATTCCTAAATGAAATTGACCAAGATTAGAAAAGGGCAAATTTGTAAACAGACCCTGAAACAGCAGATTTCCCCATCCTTGCTTAGGTAAGCCAAGTGGGCGGGGGGGGGGGGGGGGGTCCAGCTGCTCAGCAAGGGGGAAGGTGGGAGAAGCCGTGGTGGTGGTGGTGGTGTTTGGCCTGACCAATCAACCAGCTGGCCTCTGGTTTCCAGAGGACAATCAGGGAAGGAGACATCTTCATCTTTTTCATCATCATCATCACAAGAGTGATGCTGAGGCCTCAGCTCCTGGGGAGGAGGGAAGCGGCTGGCATTCAGGAGTAGCTCCCTTGATAAGGCTTCTCTTACTTAATTATTTCTGAATGGGTTTTTTGTTCAACCCTTGAAGCATTTACTCTGATTGGGTTGTTGCCTCCAATACGTCTGTCTCTCTTTCTTTCTCTCTCTCTCTCTCTCTAACACACACCAGTCCCCATCTCCCTTTCTTTGGTGTTTCTATGGAAACACCTCCAGGCGTACAACTGTTCTCCAATTTTGCAATAAAAGTTGGATAGTGATATTTCAGCCGCCTCTTTTCTTTCCAGGCTCCTTGCAGCTTCTCACTGGCAAAACAATGGCCCACCCCTCGCTTGTCTCCCCCCCCTTCCTCCTGTGTACACAAACATACCCATCTGGATTCCCAGGAGACCCCAAATATTTCAGGCTTGGGGCCATCTTTAAGCCCCCTCCCAACAGGCAGGCACATTTACAGAGACTTTCATTTGAGTAAAAATGGGAGGGAGGGAGGGAGGGAGGGAAGTTTTGCAACCAATGCTTGAGGGACTCGAGGCACAAAGCAGATCCCTCACACTGGTTTGCCTTTATTGTCAGGCAGCCCACCTGATTAACCTGCCTCATCTCAGGAGGAGCCTCAATTGGGCTCAGCCCCCCCCAGCCTTTGAGGAAGATATGCCCTCTAATTATCATCTTCTAGCTCTGCCTTTTAAACCCTAAAGGGGCTTTTCCCAGAGAATCATGGGAACTGTGGTTTGAGGAAGGTGCCATGCACTCTTGGCCCCAGGATTCCTGGGAAAAAGCAGACAGACACAGGATGAAACAAACTCTTGAAAAAACCTTGGGGAACAAGCGACCCATCTTATCCACAGCTGCCAAAATGCCCCCTTCTTTAGGAAAAGGCCAGGATCTGGACCCCTGATGTGTTTTGCGGGGGTCACCTTCAAAGCCGCTCCAGAAAGGGAGCCACATTGCTAATACAAGCCCCACTTCCTTGCCCACAGTCACGGGGGCAGCAGCCTGCCAAGTTCACTTGCTCCGGAGGAGACTGCCCAGGTGGGGCCCTGGAGGAGGGGCCCAAGGTAAGGCTTCTTCTGTTCCCTGCCCCCTTCCTCTCCCCTCCTTCCCTCTCCCCAGCTACTCAGAGCCAGAGGTTATGAAGATGAGCTCTGGGGGGGCTCAAGGGACTCTAATTATCCTCTAAGTGTGAACGCCAGAGTGATTAATTAAGAGATAATAAAAAGAAAAGCAGGCTAGAGAGGAAATAGCGGCTGCTTTGATGATAAAACCTGAGCTAAACCAAGCAATTAGGGGAATCTTTAGGAAGAGTTAGCTCTAATCCCCTGGTAGCCATTGCCAGGGAAGGAACCAGCAGGGAAGGAAGGAGGGAGGGAGGGCCAGACTTCCTCCAAGAAGGCACCCTAGCCCCAGCAGCAGCGGGCCCTCCCTTCCCCTTGCTTGTTCCGGAGGTAGACTATTCCTTCTTGTGGAGCCTTGACCTTGGCCCCTTTCCACAGCCACACAAGAGCTTCTTCCCATGTGGACTTGTGCTCCAGGTAATAGGGTCAAGCCCCCCCCTTAAAAGCAGGGGAGACCACGACCAGAAGCCAAATGCCAGGAAGGGCAGCCCAGCAGCTGAGGGTCACAGCAGGAAAAGGGCAGGGCTGGATGCCAGGGAGGGGAGACAACCAAGTGGGCATCCCTGCATCAGGGACCCCCTCTCGGAGCCAAGAGGCCTCGCCCCAGAGGACATCTTTGAGACAGGCTTGCAAAGTCTTCCCCAGGAGGGGGAACTCACTCACCGAGATTGGTGATGGTGGGGCCTCTGGGTCTGCTTGGTGCCTCACAAGGCCTCCATGCTGCGGCTGAACCCGTTCCCTGTGGGAGGAGGAGGCCAGCTGGTCCCAGCCGGACCCCACAAATGATCTGCAAAGGCCACTTTCTCCTTCACTTCAGAAAAGAATGCTTGTAGCCCCCCCCCTCACCTCTGACCTCTGGAGGGAAGCAGAGCCAGGCTCAAAAAAGTGGAAGAAGATATGCATTTGGCAAAGACAGCCCCGCCCCCCTATTCTGGCCATACAATGAGGATTTAAAGCTCTTGAATCTTCAAGGGAACTTTGGCTTAGCACAGACCTCCCAATTTCCTTAAGTGGCCTTTAGAACAGGGAAGGGCGGGGGCTCAGCTCCCTCCCCCTAGGAAGAAACCTGCCCGAGCTCCCTCCCCTCCCCCACAGAAGCAGGGGGGGCTGCAAGGAGACCACCTGCCTGAAGAGTTGCCTCAAAGGACAGACTGTTGGGGCCCTGCAAAGGTAGAGAAGGTCATGGGGCTGGCAGAGAGCAGCTCTCAAGTGGGCACTGGGGTTGGCTGGCCAGGCCTTTTGGGGACGACCACAAGGGCCAGAACCCAGGAAGGAGGGGTTCCCCTTACCTCCTGAGCTACCTCATTGCCATTCTCCTCACTTCCCATCATCCCCAGGGTGGAGAAGATGCTATGGCCTAGAACTGGGCCTGGATCTAGCACAACTCAGCCCCTTCTCCTTTGCCTATTTCCAGAAACTATGATAGACTGCCCCTGTGGTTGGAGACTTTGCCCAGTTCTTCCCTTCACTGGAGACGGCAGCTTGCCAAGTTAGGCCAGGCGACCATCTTACACCCCACCGCGCCTCCCCGGATGGGAAATCAGACGGAGGACCTCACGAGCAGGGCCAGGAGGCAAGAGACCGAGGGGGTTTGAAGGCAGAGTGAACCTGAACCTGGAAGTGCCATGCTGGGCCAGACAACAAGTCCCATGAATCCCAGCCAGAGTGGCCAATGGGAGCGCCTTCTCTCCTTCCCTCCCCTGACAATGAGCCTTAATCTTTTCCCTTTTAGATTCGCCCCTTTTTCCGCTTGAAAAGGAGATGAAAAATAACCCACCCGCAGAATGGCTTTGAAAATGAATGAATATTTCAATTTGTGACATGCCATCATGGAAAGACCCCTGCCGGATGATTGAAAGAGGGTGGAGGGGAAGACAAATGACTTTCATTTAGATAAAATACAGAAAATTATTTTGTGAAAAATGAGGAGTGATGGAGCTCGGCCAGCGGCAGGCAAAGCAGCACACCTCCCCCATTCCAAGGAGGGGATGTCGGCACACCCCCCCTTTCTAATTAAGTGCCTGCGTGTCCTTTGATGGGGGAGGGGGAGCACAAGGGGGTCCAGATCCTCTTCCCTCATTCCCTTCCCCAGCCTGGGCCTTTGCAGACATGCTGACTATAACCCCCATTGTCCTCAGCCAGAGCACCCATCCCAGCAGATGTCTGGAATGCCAAAAGAAAGTCCATCAGTGGGGGGGAGGGTCAGAGCCCCCTTCACAGGCCCTCTTTCCCATTAGCCCCATATCCCCTTGCATCTCCAAGGACAGCCTGCCCCTCCCCCCCAGGAATGCTGCCCTCTAGGGTCCCCTCCCCCCTTCAAAAGGTCTGTTTCCTCAGAATCCCAACAGAAGCCCTCCTGCCTGGATTGATGGAATGGGGCCCTGAGGGGAGGGGCTGCCCCAGCTGCGCTCTTCAACTCCAGATCCTGCCACCCCACAAGGGGCCAAGAGGGCGGTCAGCTTCTGCCATCCACATCAACAGTTTAATCCCTCCCCCCCATGCCACCCCCCTCCCACATTCCTCTCCAAAAGGGTGAATGGGCTTTTTTCTTTAAAAAGATACACAATTTGGGAAGATGGCGATATACACACCCACACACAAGCTTGGGAAACACCCAGGTGCCCTCTGCCATCTCTCGTGGTAGAGTGCCTCTGAATGTGGGAGATCCACTGAACAGGGACCAGCGTTGCTGTCCAGGCCGGGTTTAAACAGAGCATCTGCTCTTGCCTCTTTGCTCCATCCATGGCAGGGAGCCCCCCCCCCAAGATCTTTTCCAAGTCCCCCGTCCACTCTGGAGGCACTGGGTTGGGCCTTTGCTCTGACGCACCTCCAGATGCTCTCAAGCTTTTTCTTCCCCAGAAATCAGGATCTTCATGGAAACCCTTTGTATAAGTCTCTAGTCCTCATGGCTTTAAAAAGAAACAAAAAACAGAATTCCATAAAATCATTCAAGGAAGACTCTTTTTCTCTGCTAC